GAAACTTTGTGAATACATCCAGAGGCAGAATCAGTACCCTTTAGAAGAATTTTATGCTGTTTTCATTTCTAATGATAGAAGGATGGTGAGTTGTGCTACAGAACTGAATCCGAAAAACAATGTGAAGTTTACAATATCCAAAACAAAAGCTGGATCCTGGTTTGTTAAGTAGTACAGTGTTTTTACCCTAGTACAGTGTTTTTACCCTAAGCTCGGAAATGTTACTTTTTGAATTACAGTTCCTAGGATTATCCGTCATCATGGCCATTCCTTAGTTGTAAGTTTCACTGTGACTTATCGTCAGATTATTGGATTCAAGATTGCAAGCCTCGGGCTCTCCCTACTCCAGGCCTCTGTGATGCCCAGAAATCTTTCCCATTCCTTTATCTCAGTGCCAGGGGGTGATTTTATGGGTTAAATGTCTTGCATAACAGGCTCTTGCTGAAGAAACAGGGCTCTTACATATACATAAATTGGCAACATGTGGAGAAACAGTGTATGTAGTGTGGTTGGAGTGGTGGCCTGGGATATGGGAGATCCAGGTTTGAGTCCACATTGAGCCATGATACTCAAGGATCATTAATTATTTCTCACTATCCTGCCTCATGGGATTTTTATCAGCATAAAGTCAGTAAAGTCATCTATGCTGCCTTGAGATCCTTGGAGGAAAGTGAAAATGAAGAAACAAAAGTCATACATGTGAATCTACAACCATAATTAATTATGCTTGCCTACATAGTTTAATTAGATCTCATGTTAAATACTGTGGTCAGGTTCTAAAGAACCACACAAGTTCATTTGTGTGTTAGGTATTCCTATGCTCCTTGGAGCCTTGCTACATAATTTCCTTTGAAAAGGTTTAGCTTTGCATGTATTTGTAGGCGTGTATGGGTAAACCAGAGCCCCCGGTGGCACAGCGGGTTAAACTGCTGAGCTGCTGAACTTGCTGACCAAAAGGTCGGTGGTTCAAATCCGGGGAGTGGGGGTGAGCTCCTGCTGTTAGCCTCAGCTTCTGCCAACCGAGCAGTTCGAAAACATGCAAATGTGAGTTAGATCAATAGGTACCTCAGGGAAGATAATGGCACTCTATGCAGTCATGCTGGCCACGTGACATTGGAGGCGTCTACAGAAATAGCTCTTTGGCTTAGAAATAGAGATGAGCACCACCCCCCGAGTCGGACATGACTAAACTTAATGTCAAGGGGAAACCTTTACCTTTACCTTTGGGTAAACCTAGTTTATAGTCATTCAACCACTTACTTGCAGGTTTATCTTTAAATGCACTCACTTCTTCCTTGTAACACATAGGTGCCACTTTGGAAGCAGCAGGCTGGGTGTGGAGGAGAACCTGTGATTTGGGTGAGGAACCCCCGCAGAAGAAGAAGAGAACACATAGGTGCCACTTTGGAAGCAGCAGGCTGGGTGTGGAGGAGAACCTGTGATTTGGGTGAGGAACCCCCCCCCCCCATTTTCCTTTGTTATATTTAAATATTAAATATTATCCCTTTAATTGGTCCTGTTACTTTTGTGATCATCCCTTGCTAATATAACGATTTCCTAAAGCTGGATGGGAATTGTGCAGCCTGCAGGCTACAGACCATTTGTAGGGAGAGTATTGCAAGTCTGAGGACTCCCAGCAACTCTGCAATCCTTGTTCCACCTATTTTTCACTCATTTACAATGTCTGATTTTTATAATAACAAGACAGGAGTCTTTGGTGTTCTGGTTGCTTTAGGCTTCACCTCCAGAAGCCGTACACAGAATAGCCAATAGTAAAGTGATCATGGGGGCTGCAGTCCTAAATTTCTGAAGGGTGAACAATTCCTCATCTTTGCTGTAAAGAACAAAACTCAGCTTGCACTATATATATTTAGTTTTATTCACCAGATTGCGTAAAAGTTCTTCTAGATATCTAGATACGCTTCATTATATCCAGTCAAATGTAAGGAAAGTTGCACCCCAGTCATTTTTAAATCATTTGGATGGGAGTAAACCACTGCAACATTTAAAACCAAGGCCAGCATGCTACCCTTGCAAATATCAAAATATGAATACAAATATGAATACATTGATGATTGTTATAACATCATTGCAAATCTTAATACCGAGAAACTGCACAATCTCTCCCCTTTTACAGGATTACCATGTGATTTTGCTTCATGTTGCCAGTGGAGACCAGAACTTCATTTATGACCTTGACACTGTGCTTCCTTTCCCCTGTCCCTTTGACACCTATATTGAAGAGGC